CAGAATCAAGCAACTGTTACTACATTAATCCCATTTTTGAGACCACTTCATCTTTTCCAGTTATATTAAGCCAAACTGAGTGAGCCCCCCCAAGCACATGTCTGAAAGAAGTCAATACCAGGACCTTTATGCAGGCTCTCTGCAAGCCAGAAAGCACTACAGAAATAGTAATTATTTTACTGTCCTTTAGCCAGATTATTAGAGCTCCTCCTCATTGGCCAGGATAAGATTTAAATGCACTGTAAAGCTTGTGAACATTAATTACACCTTAGATAAAGTAACACAATAACAAAAGCAGTACAATAAATGTTGATTTTATTCCGATATCATTCTTATCGTAAGATCTTTCTTAGCTTCAAGATCTTTGTATCATGACAAAATACTCAGCACTGATAGCACTACAGTAACATTTAACACAGCTGAAACCAAGACAAACCTGGTCACAAAGGTCTCTTCAAAATAGAACATGCATGGGTTCAGTCAGACAGTGGAGGTCCTATCCTGAGCAGCTGACCCCACTGCAATTGGCACATGCTGCCAGTCCTGCAAAAGGTGCTGCCACCGCTTTGCAATAGAAAGGGTAGGAAAAGTGAAACCACGCAAAAATCCTCTTTGGGTACTGCCTTCCTTCAGCATTTTTCCACCCACTCACCATCACCCAGCTAGATAGCCACTTTCTTTCACAGCTGCTCATTCCCATCTGCTCTGGTACTGTCTGCAATTGTCTCTCCAACCCCTACACCCACAATTCCTCCTGACTTCACTCCTTTCCATACACTTTCTGTTTTTAGCAGATACTCCCCCTGACCAGAGAAACACTTCAGTGTTGCCAGCTGTCATTTTATTTCTATACCTATCACCACATCCCATCCACAGCAAAAAGGAAGAATAGGAGAAGATGAATCTCCTGGAAGCATCTTTTCCAGCGTTACATTCATCTCCAGTGATACACTATGTGCTCCCTCCTTCCACTCATTCAAAAACAGGAAGAATTTACAGGGGGGAAAATGAATTAAAATAACGTATGAGACACTGAAAAGTCATGCAGGAAATAGCAAGTTTTCCATGTTCACCTGACAAAGGAATGAGAAACAGAGGGTTTGGAGAATAGAAGCACTAATCCAAGCAGGGGAAAAAATAAAGCAACAATAGTAGGAAAAGGCATGGTGACTGAAAGCACAAATAAAATCAACAATGAAGGAAAGAGACACAGAGATGATGTGACAGACAATACAATCCAACCAGTGATATTTTGCTTTTAAGAATTACTGACAAAAAACATATGATGCATGATTAGGAAATGCAATATAAGACTAGAAGCAAGAAAGGATGTGGAGGCAAGTGGAGTTTTCTCGATTATTGTACTGTGGAAAAATGACAGCATACAGATCCCAAGATCTTCCCCAGCTGCAGCTGGCACAACTGCTAGAGCCATATACTGATCAGCTAAACCTGCTTGCAAGGGCACCCCTCTTCCCTCAAAACAGGATTACCTCATGTACCACCCTAGTAGAACTACACTGCTCCCTAGTCCATAGCAGCATAGATGACTGCAGCACTGTCCTCTCCACAGGAATAAAGTTTGCCTAAAGACAAAGGCAGTTACAGGGATTTCCTGTAATCCCAGCTGAATCTGAGTAACATATTATATACCTGTAATACATATAAAACATCAGGTCTGCTTTCAAATCACCTAATCTGGAAGGGATTTGGGTCAGACCCATATGGATTAAAGAGTTATGGATGTGATAATGATTCACATCCACTATAGAATGCTCCTAAAAAAGAACTACTTGTCTTAATTCCCTTTTCCCAATTAATTTTAGTGTATGAAACATAAAACATCTTCAGACAAGAATTATATACATTATAGCCACATTAAATATTTTGATTGGCTACCTAAGCTTTCCAAAAGGCAGTTTCTATTTAAAACTTGACTTGTATTGAATGTCATGCTTAGGTTTAAACTAATTTTGGGTGGCATTCTTTGAGAAAAAACAAACAGTTAACATTTAAGCAATTTTGAGGAAAAAAATCTGCTTTTCATCTCACAGATCAAACTTCTATTCCTCAGAATTTATCTACCTTTGACTACAGCACTTCATTAATACTGGTCAGCTGGAAGAGAAGTGAGATTATAATCATTAGCGTGCTGTCAAAATTTGAAAGGACAGCCCACTCTCCCCAAAATGTTTTGTGAACCAAAACCATGTTCACAGAAGTGCCAAAAGAAAAGCAAAAGTATATGCAAGCTGGAGTCCTTTAGGTGTCTACTAACAAAACTAATATACCCTGCATTAATTAAGATGAAGATTCACCAATGTAAGAAATAGCCTATCAAGATGCTTCAGCTGAAGGTTTGGGTAATTTTCATGAAAATCCATTAATTTTTAGAAGCAAACTTACTTTTACTGTACAGTTAACTTCCCAGGATATGGGGGTAACTATGTTTTTGTAAAAAGTGGCTTTGAAGGAAACCAAGAAATTTGAAATTCCATGTGCAAGGATTCAGATAATTTCAAATTCAACCAGTAGCGTCCATGAACTCCTGACAATGCAATATAAGAGACTCAAAAAGATGGATTACCTCAGCAATTCAGCTGAAAGAACACAGCTCTGAAGTACTTGCCGTGAGTTCATACCTTAAAAAGCACTCAACAAAACTGCACCACGATAAAAGGTGATCAGATCCCAAATGGAACTGAAAAATAGCAAGATATATCTAACCAATAACTCAGTGCAAACTATTTCAGTATTCCTGGGCATTAATACACCTCTGTGATAAGGGCTTTATAAAAAAAAAACAAGAGTTAAAACTCTAGCCAACCAATTTTATGGGATAAGAGACTATCTCAATCTATGCAGGATTTTGGTTTTCAAGTTTTCATGAAGATTAACCTACTAATTTTCATAATTACTGGCAAAGTTCTGTACAGTGGTTAAGTCAAGCTGGTGGGATATACATATGTATCGCCCACATGAGCTGAACCAACAGACTCCAGCATAACTGTAAGGCTCTAGTAACCACAAATTCCTGACAAAAAAATACTTGGATTTTCTTTTCAGATTCCAGGTGAATCAACAGTCTTGAGAACAGTTTTGGGAAACACAAGAACAGCAGAAACTTATCAACTGTTGTCTACAGGACCTAAGTGTGCCTCTGTTTTCAAGGCATCAAATATATTAAACAGCAAAAGCTTGCAGGATATGAGCTCTAAACAATACTACCAGAAAATGAGTTAAGGAAGAAGAAGGTTTCATGTTTCAAATTGATGGTTCTGAGGTCCATTCCCCACGTTTTAAATATTTGGTTATGCCAATGGCAGTGACAGGACAAGGAGTAACTTGTTTCAAAATAAAAGTGGTCGGGTTTAGATTAGGTGTTACGGAGAAATTCTTTACTGTGAGGGTGGTGATACACTGGAACAGGCTGCTCAGAAAAGCTGTGGATGACCCATCCCTGGAAGTGCTCAAGGCCAGACTGGATGTGGTTGTTGAGCAACCTGGTCTAGTGAAAGGTGTGCTTGCCTATGGCAGGTGTATTCAGAACTAGATGGTCTTTATGATCCCTTCCAACCAAAACTGTTGTATGATCCTATGACTATTACGTAAGTCTCAGCAGTTCCCATATCATTATAGTTAAAGCACCTCAGGAAAACCACTTCCTAGTCATATTTCCTTCTTGTGGTGCCAGAGAGTAGTGTCACAGTCTCCTGGTCATGGTATAAAAGGGCTGAAGAAAGGACCCCAGTGTCCTACCCAGCTGTTCCAGTAACAAAAAGACATATTTGTTGATCCCTTCAAGATGGCCTAAATGATATGCCAGTACTGTCCTGGATCTACCTTCCATCAGCACAGCCTCGAATCCATGCTACGACTCTGGTAGTAGCACAAAGTCAGATCCGTGAACTGTCTTGGCTGAAAACTTACCACATTTTTAGTTACTTTTCAGGTAAGTTTTCAGCCAGATGATATGGCTGTACAGAACTGATGGCTGGCACTGGGAAGGCCAAGAATACCTTTGGCTCAGAGAAGGTAGATCAGCTCCCTACACTGCAACACAATGCCTGGGCTGGTTTAAAGTGTCTAAGGAGATATATCCTGATATGAACAGTCTGCAGTCCTTCCTCGTGTCTCCAGGCTACAGCACAAAAATCATATAGCATTTCCAAAGTATAAGGTATAACCTTTGCTCAGGTTAACAGCTCAAACTGTTGTCTAGTCCTCTGCTTCCAGAACTATCTCTGTTTTGTTATCCACAGTAACTAAGTAGGAAGGGTTTCTCTGTTTTCACCTGAAAAATCAAGATGACAGCACTGTGAAATATTCTATTAAGTTGACAGTATTTTCTCCTGTATGTTTTGGCTTGTTGTACAGTTCTGAGCTTGGTATTTGTACACAAAAGCAAACCTGATATAAATAAAGGATTTTTTCAAGGCGCAACTCCTGGAATCATGCCATATTTGCAAAAAACAGCTCCAGAAACTTAGTGCTTCCATCAAGCTCAGGAAGTACATAGGTCACAAAGTCCTGCTCCTGAGCAAAAGATCTAAGAGAGAAACTATTATACCAGCCTCCTGAGCTAGCATACAGCACACCAAGGGACACATCAGTACTGAAGGAAGGAGACTGGAAAACTTACCAGAATTACCACTTTAATAATCTCATGAACACTGGTAATGAAAAGGCTACAGGAAAAAGAAAAAAAGAAAACTTCCCAAGAAAACCAAAGTGTAGTTTAACAGCATATTTAAAAGTTTCAAAATTCATCAGATAAGCCCTACTAAGCTAACCATTTAGAAAAGGAACAAGACAAACCAAAAATATTACATGGATCTCCAGGAAAGGTCCCAAACAATACACACAATCATTAAACAGACCAGCAAATTTTAAAAATACTAGTCCAGAAAATATTTTAAGTATTTGCTGGTACAATCTCTTTACAAAAAGTGAGGGTTTTCAAAGTAATGAAATGTATTTGGTACATTAGAAATACTTACAACTACTCCACTCTTGGTGACAGTTTCCCGGTATGTGAAATTGCACACTGCCCAAGCCAGGTAATAGGTGGACATGAGAGGGGTCTGTGAAAAGTGATCTGTAACCCATCCATCTTCTTCAAAAACAGAAGTTTCAACTGGCATGTTGGACAAAGATAAGTAAGTTGCTTGATGTCTGATGCTGATTTTGAATGTGGCCTTGTAGATGGGCTCATCAAAGCAAGGAAAGGCTTTTCTGGCATGAGTGGGAGAAAACTGCGTAACACCAAGAAACCTAGAAATTCAGAAAACAAAAATAAAAATTGATTACTAACTGTGCCTAGCACTTGATTCATAGACATACCACGTAAGACACTGCTTGACCATTGTGGTTTAAAGGAGGAAAAAATTACAACTGTACAAAACATAGTGTTTGAACACTGCTTGGTCTTCTTATTACCTCTACTGCAATGCAACAGATACAAATTAATGGTCTGCAAATTTCCTACAAATATGTAGACACCAAACTGACACTAAATAAATCAGCCCCTTCATCAAACTTCAAGTTCTAGCAGTATTGTTCATCAATATGTGGGGAAAAAAAGGCATGCTACTGCTGGCTATACAATGTAATACAAGCACACAACACACTTGTAAAACAAGTCCAAACCAGGATTTAACAGCCTTCAGGGAATTCACTCTGCCCTGAGACACTGACAGGGCGCTTTACCTTTCTTTGGGCACAAGAACTTACGGTCACAAAGTGCACTCAGGAGGGTCATTGTTTTCCACTGCTGATTACTCCTCTACCAGCTGCATGCAGGCCTGGGACACAGTATACTACATAGCACTGCTGTGTCTGTGCACATCCTGAAAAAACATTCTGTGAGCTTTGCAGAATCACAAATGCAAGCAAATGATCAAACCAACACTAAATATTTCACCATTCTTCTACATGTGCTTTTCTTTTCTGATTAATTTTATAGAGAGCAAATCCATACTCTCAGTTAATGAGTCAAACTATGGAAAGATCTCTGAAGGAGGTAAAGGTATTAATTATGGACATATGGGAAGAATGGGAAAGCTCTAGCTTGACAACAAAACCTGTAATTGTTTTCTTTGGAACTAAATAAATTTTGATCCAGATACCAAATAGGAAGCTTTCTGGATGGAGATTTACATTTACACATTTGGAGAAAACGCATGATCTTTTTGCAGAAATAAGAAGTTACACTTAAAAGGTTGAATTATGGGGTTTGGTAAGAGTATTTTCTGTAGGCATGTACAATTACCATGGGCCAACCATGTAAATGTGAAGGTAGTATGTAGGCTTTCTGAGTGGTATTGATTCATGTCTCACCTTCCAAGGCTTCATCTGTGGAAAACTGTGCAATTTTAGATACCAGGCAAACATTTATCAAAATTTTAGAGGCTGACTAATCATCTGTTATTCCTCTGAGGGAAAAAGATGGGTGGACAGCTTTGATGTAATGAAAACTGTGGCACCTATTATTAATCAGTCTATAACCATTAATCTGCAATATGATACTCTAATACTGACAGAGCAAAAAACATAGGTAGCCCGTTTGGAAAATAAAGTATCTAATTAACTTTTTCTAAAACTTTTTTGATTTTACAATCCAATAAGTTTATTGGAATGTTACACCTTTTCTTGATAGAACTAGATATATGTTTACCATTGAATTATCGCCTCTTGCAAAAAAGGATGACTTTTTGAAACTTTGAAAAAATTTTCCATCATTGAAGCAGATACCATTGGTCTTTTTTCTAAAATAAAGGGCCTTTTTTGGCTAATAATTGTTGAATGAATTCATCACATTTTTCTTGCCTCATTACAGAACATGGATTATTAAAACCATCATTTTGGATAAGGCTGCTAAATCTAAGGTAAAAAGTTGGTGCCAGATATCCCAGTGTTAATCTAAAAAAATCCCATATTATCAGTGGATTTGCAATACTGCAACAAAGCCAAATCAGCCAATTAAATGAAGCAAAGCAACTTAATTTATATGCAAAGTATTTCAAGTGGACCTGATTCTGCATTCTAGGCACACTCTAAACAGCTACAGACATCAACAGAAGCTTCAAGTGAGCATGGAAAACTGTACTGGCCTGTTATTAATAAAACAAGAATGATGAACTTTCTTCTGCAAGTAACAATTTTAATGAGCTTCAACACACACGTAAACACACACCTAGGAAATACTGTTTATACTGTGATACTCTCTAAATAAGGAAGCTTTCCCTTCTCCCCTCTCCACATCTTCCCTCCACTTCTCAGAGATAATATCAGTCATATTTTAATACATATTAGGCCACTGAAACAATCCCTTCACCAGGCTAATAAACCCTGGTAAACTTCATCTTCTGTGTTTTCACAGACAGACAAATATATCCATATAGACATAACTGGGCAAACACAGGGCAGTCAATATTTTTTACTAAAAATACATCAACTACCCATAGTAGGGATATTTATAACATGTGCATTACTATCAAACATTGATTTGCTTGTTGTGCCATAAAGCAAAACAAACAAAATCTTAGAACTGCTTAAAAAACCTAACCATTTAGTTCTAAAGAAAACAAACAAGCTAAACCCCTAACATTGTTTATCTATTTCACTCTGTGTTCAAAGTAAAACAAGCAGACTTCTACAGCATGCCAAAAGTGAAGGGCAGATTGAGTATTTCATCCTTCCCTTTACACACCTCTCTGGATACCAACACTTTTACCTCCTGTTCCCAAAAATTTCAAAAGTTGTACTTGAGGGAAGGACAGGCTCACAGTCTGTCTTCTCAGAATACCCATGGCAGTAACTTGCAGGTTTTAATGCCATCTTGTCTATTAAAGAAAGACATGTTTCCTCAACAACCTTTATATTTTGACATCTTAGTTGTTACAAGGCTAAAGAATGTCTTTGTTTTGCTTGTGTGATATAAGAATTTTTTTTCCTTTTCACTTATGCCAAAGTTGGATGTTCATCTATATTATGCCTGCATACTCATCCAGTACTCTACACTAGCTCTGTATTATATTTCTGTTGATTACTGTCAGTAAATTCTAGCATATAATGCAAAGTAAATTTGTAGCTTATCACCTGCATTTTACATTTCAAGTACAATAGGAAAGATTTCAGTCAGAAAATAAATACTTCTACGCAGTTTTTACATTTCAGGCTGATTTACAACATTCACCTGTGAAGGCCAGAGAAACTAACTTTAGGGAGAAAAAATCATAAAGTGAAGGCATTAGTATGTTCATGATGCCTTACAGCAGAGTTATTTGCTCCTCATGCACAACAAAAGTGAAAAATGATGGTTTGGACCCTTTTACAGCAAGTACTACTCCAATGAGGCTGCTGTATTTTAATTGAATATAAAGGTGCCAAAAAAATCAAAGCCCTGCTGGAACAGCAAGGTCTCCCAGAGCATGCAAGTCTGTCTGTCTATCATAACAGAAGCTGTCCATATTTGAGGACTAAAAATGTTTATTTATATATATATATATATATCATACTAAAAAATGGGTTATTAATGAGAATGCAAATTGTTACTGTAAGAATGCTCTCTGATCAAAAAAGTTCCCTAGTTTAGAATGGGTATTTTCCGCTTTATACTACAGTGAGTCATTAAGCCTGTGCCAGTTGAAAAGGGAAAATACTTCTATTTAACACCTGAAACTACAACCATACAATGACCACAGTTTTAAAAATGTTTTACTGAAAGAAATATAAGTGAGCTGGTGTAAAGGAAAAAACATGCCACTGCTTTCAATACAGCAATGTTATCTTACATAAAGTATTTTGCCCATGACTATACTTAAGTGTATTAAAAACAAAGTCATTTATATCTGAAAAGTTACACACAGAGCACTGCGAAAAATATTTTACCATCACCTTCCCCAGTGTCTTAAACTATCCTGATGACTGAAACAGTGAATAGACCCTTTTTTTGTTGGTGATGGTTTCTAAATCTTAACTAGGGGATCAGTATTGAAGTGTAGTACAGTAACTCTGGAGAAATGTCACCACCACACCTATTTGACAGCTCAATTATTCCTACACAAAGTACACGAGAATAATAACTGCTTAAATAACTTCTCCGATTTGTAAAGTGAATTATACCCCCTGCTGTTAACAGTATTTTGTTTTCTGATTTGCCCATTTCAATACAAGTCTGTAAGAACTCCCAATTACCCCAACCATTCAGTCAACCGTGATAAAAGGCATTTTATCCGCATCTCTTCTTACAACTGTGCTTTTTCGAATTTCTTTTTTATTTCACTGTGATGACAAATTGCAAAAACTTAATTTCGATCCTGCTTGCGGTTCTAATATCAGGCTTTTTAAAATTGTCAGTAATCATAGCAATGAAAATACGTTTTAATAAAAGGGCTTTTGACTTAATTGAGTTGGTGAGAATGCCTTTCATGTCTTTCATTTGCCCAGTTCTTCCAACTATAAAGTCTTCGTTTCACTTAGATTGCTTTTACAATCTAAAACAGTAAGATTCAGGAAAAGAAAACCTGTGATGTACACAGGTATTTAAAGAAAGGACAGCTTAAAAATAATCCAATTCTAAAATTATAAACCATGCCAGAACTATCAAGAAGTCCATCCCGCCTTTCTTTTCCACTACAAAGCCTCAATGTGGTTAGAAAACACCTTTAAAAAGAAAGCCTCTGTAACTGGCTAAATGGGGCCCTCCACAGTAACCCTGCCTACCGCAACAAGGGCCTCGACAGGAGCCCAAGGGGCTTTAACTACATGAGTAAATACAGATAAAGACTAAATCTTGCTGTTCCTGCAAACGAATCAGGTTTGCCGGGTCACAGGGTGTAAATGTGCAGCGACCCACCTGCAGCAAGCAAACGTACTCATCTTATGTGAAAACGCATCCCCCCATGTTTTCGCTTTACTTAATAGAATAAAAACAAAACACAAGTCTCGCTGCCCGTCACTGCTATTTGTAAACTGACATGGCTTTGTCACACGAGGGCACACGGCAGCCGGACACAGTCTTGGTGTGAAACAGACCCGGAGTCTCTGCTCCGGGCCTGTCCTAACAAGGTGGCTCTGCTTCACTGGTGCCACCCTTGCAAGTTTGCTCCTTTCAGCCGTCCGTCCCCACGCTGTGCTGGGGCATCTCCGGACCCGCCGTCCGCTGTCCGCAGCCCTCCCCGCGCAGGCGGAGCGCTCGGCTCACCTCCC